GTTACAGAGTTGGATCTTATGATGTCATCAGACAAGTCTTCGTGACTTGTTAAACTAACAGCTATGCTAGTTTATGGTATCTGCCACCTCAGTCCAGTGCATGGGAGAAATGCCAAACCTTTACAGCTATACAGAAGGCCAATAGAGTCAGGGTCATCCATCTTTGGGAGGAGCTAATTCCCAAGAACCAATACAGCAATAGAGATGACATATCTTCTAGGTGCCATTAGATGGCATTGCCCCAAGAAGAGACCTGAAATATACCCACTCTGTGTGGCCACAGGCAGAAACACCTAGAGAGACAAGTAACCTGGTTCTCTGCCATCAGCACCTTGAATGGTACTAAAAAGTCTACTGGGCAAAAAAGTCACAGCAACTATAATATGCATGTTTGGGACCAAATGAAGATGGTTGGCCAAATGAATTTGCTCAATAAATAAATAAATATTCTAGAGTTTTCAGGGAGAAGACCAAATCCTGAAGAATTAAAAAGCCATTTCCAAAAGTGAGAAAAGGGGGGGGGAGGAGAGGAAACAAAATGAAGGCACCTACTTACACAAGGTAAGTTGATTTTTTTTTACAGGTTGAGTCCAATGCCCATCAGTCCCAACTGGGATAGCTGAAGTTCAGAGATAAAGGGCACTATTGGCCAGTAACTTCTCAATCAGTTCTCTAGGTACCAAAAAACAAATAGAGGAGTATGCCAATTCACATGGGTTGATCTATCAGTCTCCCATCATGCCAGAGAAACTTTACTATAATATTCTCAAAGGGACTAATTATTTTTTGTACATCACATGTTATTGGTGATCTTGAAAACACATAAAATATAGTATGATTTATATGTCAAATCTTGCCTTGGCTTCCTGTTTCCTGTTTCCTCTATCCTTGTCCTTCATCTTTCATTCCCTACATCCATCCTTACTTTAGACTTATTTCTTGTTCTTCAGGCTGTTTCTTCTTCCAACCCAATGTTCTTCAATCTGTAGTCTTCTGAATGTGTTGGTCTCTTGGCTGGGGATTATAAGACAATTAATCTAACTCAGTTGGATGGTGGGAAAGAGATTTTCATCCCACTTCTCTGTGGACTCCAAATTCTGAACCCTTGAAAATCCATTTTCATCTCTCCATTGAATTATCAGTTTATCAATCCTTGACCTGACCAGGCAGTTCTACCTGTCTTTGAACTAGCATACAATATTTCTTTCTATACTTTCTTGGCTCAAAGCTGAAAATATCTACATTGCACTTTACAAAAGCCCAAAAGCTAATTCTTTCCTCAGCAGCTAGAAGGTTCTATTGCATCAACTCTACTAGTAGGATACTTGTATCCCCAACTGTTATACTTACAGCATACACGGGTAACCGGATGCCACACAAGTGTGGCAAGAGGCACAAAACTTTCCTGTAAATTTATTTGAAAGCAGTTCTTTTTAACTTGACAATGGAGGAGCTAGCTGTTTACAAATCCTGACCATTACTCAAAGCCTAGAAAGGTAGAAGTTTTCCAAACAAATATTGAAGGAAACATTCAAGAAAAGAGAAATTGGCATTTCAGAAAATTCAGAAATAAAATAGTTGTGGAAAATAATAACTGTTATGCTAAGAATTCAGGATGGAAGCCTCCCATCTGGTGATAATGATAAAAGTATGTCTGTATGTGAGAACAATAGATGCAATCTTGTAGATACTGTTAAGAACTCCATAAAATGTTGTCACTTCGCAGCAATGCATGTTACATTCATGGACTTAATGTGGGTGTATTAGACTCTGTCTAAATTACATATTGCATAACTAACTCTTACCATATACTGAAGTTTCAAAATTACTTTGTTCCATGTGTGCGTTACATCTGTAGCACATTATATTCAGCTTTTCTTTCATTACATGCACATCAGATTCCTTAGCCATCTCCCATTTCAAATCTTTTTAGGTTTTTGTCTGATAGCTACATCTTCTGTCCAAGACCAAGCAATCGAAAATACTCTACGGTTTGTGTAACCTATAGGAGAATTCATGTCCTAGCTATTTGTAAGTTTTCATTGTGTATATGTGCATTGTTAAGCTGTGCAAAGATTTGTGCACATGTGTGCTCGTGAGTGTAGTGAGTACATTAACACATTCAAATTATGCAGTTAATGCTGCCATGTATCCTATTGTCTATGGACCACCTTCAGAGTAACCAGTCCAAGGCAGGTGATTCTCAGCATCAGCATCTCAGACAGCCAAAACTAGGTCATGCATATAGAGTGCATATTAGTCAGAATGTAATTTGAGTTAGAGCCTAATTCAGACTGAATGAAAGCAACACATTTGTAAGCATGTATTTAAATGTATTTTAAATATTACATCATCATTCACAATAGAATGAAGAAACCAAAGAGATCGTTGTTGATTTCAGAAAAGGCACAGCCACACTTCTCTGTGCATTAATGATTCACCTGTGGAGATGGTTACCAGTGTCAAATTCTTGGGTGTGCAGCTAACGAGTAGGCTGACTTGGTTGCTCAACAGTGAGAAACTGGTGAAGCGGGCACAGCAGCACCTGCATTTTATGCGTCGCATGAGAAAAGCACATCTTCCTTCCCCTAGTCTGACCACTTTCTACAGGAGGACAATCAAGAGCATCCTGTCACATAGCATCACAGTCTAGTTTAGAAGCATCACTGCTTCAGACAGGAACGCGGTGCAGAGAGTGGTGAGAATGGCCAAAAAGATCATTGGAAGTTCCCTCCCTCCCATCCAGGACATAGCACAGAAGCGTTGCTTGAGCAGGATCCGTAAGATTATCTGGGACACTACACATCCTCTTCACAACCTGTTTTCCTTGTTACCTTCTGGGAGGAGGCTTCGTGGTATCTGTAGCAGAACATCCAGATTCAGCCTAGTTTCATTCCACAGCATTAACCTTGTGAACTCTCAAGCTTCCTCCTTCCATTATATATTCAAGATGGACAGTATTTAATATTTATTTGCTACATATATGTAGGGATGTGGGTCTATACACATGTTGTTCATAGTATGTTTAGGTGTGCGTCATGAATGTGTTTCACTTTGAGAGTAGGCAACTAAATTGTATTTTTGATGTGTGCCGTTGTGCCCACAGTAAAAAAAATGACAATAAAGGTTATCTTACTTTTTGTTCCAGAAGAAAACCAATTTCCTTCCTAATAAATAGTTCAAGTGTCTTTCTCTTAATATCGTCAACATCATTGTCATCAGCCTGAATAAATCTATTGCGGGATGAGGGTCTCTTAACTGAAGTTTATAGAATGCAATCTACTTTCTGGTCCTGTATAGGTTGGTAAATAGATGTTTTTGGACTTCCAGATTAGGGCTGAGAAAAAGTGACTGGCCCAAAGTCATTCAGCCAGCTTCTGTGCTTAAAAGGGGACTAGAAACTGGGTCTTGCCATTATACCACATTGTCTTTCTTTCTTTCTTTCTTTCTTTCTTTCTTTCTTTCTTTCTTAATATATAATTAATTTAGTGATGGAAGCTAAATCTCAGATGCAATGAAAACAGAGATGGTTCTGCTCTTAAAATTAATCATCTTCTTGCTGTCGGTAACAGGAAAAGAATCATTTCAGGATCTTCTTCTAACATATCTTTTAGTGGATGGGGAAGTGTTGTTAATAAAATTAAAAATAAAATTCTGTCAACTCTTTCTTTTGTATATTGGGCATTTCTGGAGGCACATAAAGCAAATTAGCAGTCACTAATTCACCCGGGCATTAGTGGATTAGCAAGTAGACCAAATGTGTTAGACATAATTCATTGGCACCACCAACACAGTGCTAATACACAAGGAATTCTGGTAGAGTTGGCCAAAGGCATTTTGCTACTGGAGATCAAGAACAATGCAGCAAGGAGGGCAATCTGAGTCTATGCTTGTGAGCAATGCACTTTATTGGAGCTAGCATGTTTCATGCCAGCTTAATAAATTTTGTAAAGGTGTTTCTTTTTGTCTCAAGTCGGACTTCCTCATAAGAATTTCAGAGCTCATCCTATAGTAGCCAAATGTGGTATTCCAAAAGAAACAGAGCCAAACAGGGCCATTGAGAAGGAAAAGAACACAGATATTTGCAGAAGTGCAGGAAACTAGGAACATAGAACTTTTCGATACCACAAAATATTCAATTCAAAAGGTAAACAGGTTTGGAGATTCTAGATGACTTGCAGATTAGAACTTCTATTAGTTGGTAAGGAGACAGTGAGAAGCTTTGTTAAAGGTCTCATTCATGTTTTTTTCTCTTATTTTTTAGTAAAGTATCACATAAGAGTACTTAGTAATTGATAATACATCACGTTTTAATATTAAGATTATACAGTGTACAGTATTATCTTTACTTGTAGATAGTCTTTCCAAAATAGAATATTACCTAATATGTTTTGCAAGGATTTTTTTTTAGATTTGCTATTAAAAGCAACACTCAGAATTTATTCCAGTCCATGAGTTATTCTAGAGACTAAAGAATAACTTACCGTAAGGCATGACTTAAATTTTATCATTTGTAGATCATTCATTCATCTAGATATGCTGGAGCACTATATAGACATTAATGGGAGAAATTGTGTATAAGGTTGCGTGTATGATATCACCTTAAGCCAGTGTGTCTCAACCTTGACGACTTTTAAGATGTGTAGACCTCAACTCTCAGAATTCCCCCGCCAGGTCTTAAAGTTGCCAAGATTGAAAAACACACTGACCTTAAGCAATTAAATTACAGCTCAAAGCATTGCATCGTAGTTAATGAAACCAACCAAACAAACAAAAAACCCCACGCATGTTCAACGCAACGGGTAATCTGAAACATTGTTTGCTTCTTAAAGTACCCTACATACAACACAGGGTTGTTGTGAAAACGAAGCAAGGGGAGGAGGGGAAATTTCAACCGCTCCCTCGAAAACGGGTGGGATTCAAGTGCGAAATAAATAGTTGCCCAATCTTATGCATATTTATAACATGGGCCGTGTTCTCTGCGTAAAAAGGGTGCAAATTCAAGCCGGTCTGAGAGTGCTGAGTCCCCCTGCTCGCAAGGAGTCGCTGCGAAGCCGTCGCACCTAGACAGGACGAGGCTCGGAGGCTGCCGGGTGTGGATCACTGCCTTTTTATCTCTCCTATCGGGGCGGCCGGCTGGCTAGCTGGCTGGTTCATCTCCGCAATGGCGGTGACGAGGAAGATCGCAATTCGCCTGGCATATTCGGTGGTTGGGATGATCTCGGGGCTGTCGGCCTTCCTCGCCTGGAACTTGGCGCCGAGACTGCGGCAGCCTTACACCGCCTCAGCCGGCGGACTCTCGGGTGAGCCTCTGATCTGCAGCGAGAAACGCGCGTGCGGTCTGGTTGACTGGCCTCCCGCGCTCCCCTTTCCCCCCGTTTTTGGGTCTGTCGCTGGCTCCCTCCAAACTCGGGAGGGAAGTATAGCCGTGCTCCCCCGTACCCCGTATCGTTTCAGCCTTGCCAACCCGCCTGTGTCGCCTGTATACACGCTGGGAAGAACAATCCCCTTGCATTTGTTTGGGGGGGAAAGGGCTGTTTAGAAGGGCGGCGGGGTTGTTTGACTCTAAAGTAAGTTGTATTGAGTTCGGTAAGGCTTTAAAGGAGAATAGGCTTGTAGGCTTCATTTTTATTTTTCTCATTTCCCTTGCCCCCTAGTGGATTGCTCTGCATCTCGCTTTCTGTATATCGTCAGGTGCCCAAGGCAGCCCTGCAAAGGAAGACGCAGAAGTGATGGCACCTAATGATTGAACGGTCAAATCATACAATCAAGGTTTCTAGTCCATAACGCTTAGTAAATAACCAGGGACTTGTCCAGGGCAGTCATCAGAAATCAAAAACTGAGTCAAAGGCATAGTGGGAAGAAAAAGAAAGAAAACAAAAAGTGATTCTCGAGTCAACTCACGTTATTTTGTTGTTATTTAATATATGTATATCCCATCTTTCAATCAGGATGTAATATGATGCCCCCTTGTCTAGTTTCCTCCACAACAACATTGTGAGATAGGTTGGGCTGAGAAAGAATGAGGGGCCCAAAGTCATTCTGTCAGCTGCTGAGGCTGAGTTTTCTGTATGAGAGATAGTAGCTTCGATTTACCATCTGTGTTAACAATTATTTTATTTTTTTCTGCTTGTTGGTTTAGGCCTACTCCAAAATGAAAATATAGCCCTTTAAAAATAAATGTGTCTGAAAAGTCAGTTGTTTTGCTTTCAGCTTTTCATGCAGTTTGCTTTGGTGGCTGTGATTTGTACTGTATCCACAATTTTCTTCTCATAATTTTATTTGTGTAGTCAGTGATTAATGATACACTACTTAGAGCCATCATGCCAAGCCGTTTTCATCTGGTGTTCTCATTTGTTACATTAGTATCCTGCCTTTTCAGGGAGTTCCAGATATCACCTGATCTTCTTAGTTCATCAGATGTTTACAACAGTCCTGTGACGTAGGGTGGCCAGAGAAATAGCAATGGGCTCAAGGTCACTGGCAAATCGTATGGTGACTGAGAATTTGAACGGACCTTAAAACTTTAATCTCTGATCCTAACTATTTATTTATTCATTCACTTTGTATGGCCACCCACCTCATCTAAGTGACTCTGGGCGGTTCATAACAGGTAAAAACAATCCAATAAAAACAAGGTAAAAAGCAATGTGCAAACATAGAAACAACCCATAATCAGTTAAAAAACAGAGTATCATAATCACAGCAGAATTTATCCTGCATCAGCTCAACACAGCCATTGTAAGAGCTCCTCACCATACTCAGACTCCTAGATATGGTGGCATAGCCATATCTTCAGGGCCTTCTCAAAAACAGGAGGGCCAGGGCCAAGTTAAGTTTTGGAGGGATGATGTTCCATAGGGTGGGTACCACAGCTTTCTTCCTGGTACACATTTTTAAAGATGGGACCCATAATATGTGGATCCTGATAGGCCGGGTAGATGTAACTGGGGATACCTCCTTGCAGTTCATGACACCAATGTTCTCCAATCTTTTAGGCTGGTTGGCACCTTTTGACAGCAAACAAAAGCTCACTTGCTTCATTTTTATTTTCTAAGAAAGCTTTAGAAGTCCAGAGGTATACCTAGAAATAAAGGTGAATCAAGAAATCAGCTTTGTAAGTTTTCAATTTCTCTTAAAGTCTCCCCTGAGCTGAGTTCAACTTCTGATGATTCCAGAGACCCATCTGTGTAATTCTGTATAAGTAGTTTGTCATTGACTTCTGGGATGCATTCTGGGGGACTTCCCACCCATGTCTGAACCTTGATCTTTCTTGATTCTCTCTCATTCACCAACTAACCAGGTCTCATCCTGCTTTGCTTTTCCTGGACAGCCAAAAAAGAGGTAAAAGGTGAGGCAGGGGGCCTGGTAGGCCCTAAAAGGGATGTCTGAGGTTCCAGTGGAAGCCCACTAGTAACCCTGGAGTCAGCATTTTAATATGCCATCAGTGTAGCACAGCACCTAGGAGCCAGACTCCTGTGAAGAAGATTGATTTACCAATTTAAATGTGACTCTGCATTAATAATTAGTTACTAGTAGCCTGGACTGCTAAGGACTTTATTTCCATTACTTCTTGCAGTGCATTTATTTATGGTACTTGCTTTATATACAGCAGGCCTTCTCTGTGTATAATCAGAAGATAAGTGTATGGTAGAAACCAAACGAATAGCTAAGACAAAACCACACAGTTAAAACATACAGCTTCTAAATGAGTGTCAGGTTGACAACTTCCTTCAAGGGATTGGTGAATGAAAGAATTTTTGCCTGGTGCCCCAAAACCAGTGCTGTTGTCCTCATGAACCTCTCTAAGGAGGCTGTGTCATAACTGGAATGTCTATACCACGGAAAGGACCTTCATGTGCTTTTTGGATTCCTCCTAATTGTGGTCAAATGCAGTAGGCTTTTCAACAATAACTGTCATAGTGTAGGGAAAAGGCAATTGACATTCTTAGCAAACTGCCTTTGTGTGCAACATTACAGCCACAAAGAAAATTAGATTTAGGAAACTTGAGGTGCCATGCAAAGTGATCTTTGACTCAGTCCTATCAACTTTAAGGACGCTGGGCATTGCAGCCTTCATCTGATGCACTCCAGGTAGTTTGGATTGCACTGCCACCAGAAAGATGGGAAACGCTGATCTTGATGTTGAAATTGAACTGGTTCTCCCTATTGCACAACTGGCTTCCAAGCAATAAACTGTTGTGGATGCCGACCACAGCTGTCTAATAAGTGCTTTGCCAAAGTGCTTTCTCCATTGCTGTCATTTCAAAGCTTCCGGTGGGAGTATAGTAAATTTAAGACAACAGACCTGTTGAGCTCTAAGCCATAACAAAACCAAAGCAGTGGGCCTCCTGATTTGTGAGTTGCATATATTTTCCACCCATAAATAATAAGCAAGCTCTTCCAAGCTTATTCATTTTAAGTCTGCTTGTGTTAGGATGCAAATGTATCTGTATTTCTTCTGTCAGCATTACATTCATCAACAAGTGGCAATTTGCATCAGGGCAGGACCACGCACTGTGGACATTTGTTTACTTTCTTTTGTACTTGAATAGGAATTGTCTGCAAAGAATTGTAATGGCAGAAACCAAATATTCTAGTGTCACCTTCACCACAAAGCCAACTGGATGACCTTGGACCAGTTAACCCTCTCTCAACCCTAGGAAACAGGCAAGGGCAAACTACTTCTGAAAATCTTGCGAAGATAACTGCAGGGACTTGTGTAGGCAGGAGTTAAGACTGATCCAAAGGAATGAGGGAGGAAAAAAAGAAAAGAATTGTCTAGGCAACTGTTAGCCCAATGACTAAGATGCCCAAAGTCATTCTTGAGGAATTCTTAGACATGGTTTTGGTGGCACTAATGCCAAAGCTGATGGAGAATTGATTCAGACCAGAACTAATAATTAAGAATTTAACCTTGGACCATAGGTTCCAACATAACATCACCTGAGATTAATGGAAGATCTGAGCTACTTGATGACCTTATCTGTAGGTCAGGTTTTTTGGCTTTAATCTGTCAAATGAGAACGACTGGGTTCCATAGAAGAAGAAAGCTAGGCATTTACCAAAAGTGTAGAATGCTTCTCGGCCCTTGTCCCTAGCCCTGTTGGTACAGAGTCAATTGACAGACCTCTTTAAGCAAATTGCACTGATAGCATTAACTCCCCCAGATCAGAAGAAAACCGGTAGACCCTTTTCCAACTAACAAATTTTATTAGGTTTTCATGAGGTATTGCTTACTTCATCGGAACATAGGGTGGCTACACTGATGTAGGATTTCACAAAAGCATAACCCCTTTTTATAAAATGTTAGTCTGAATAGAGACGACCAGTTTCTTTTTTTCTTTTTTCTTTTTGCAACCATAGACTAATACATCTCCCCCCCCCATCATGGCTTGGGCCAGCAGCCCCCAACCTTTTGGGCACCAGAGACCGGTTCCATGGAGAGAGGTTTTGCCATGGACCGAATATAGGGCATGGTTTCACATGCTGCCTGCATCCCTCTTGTTTGCATGGTCTGGCATGCTGTGGACCTGTGCCGGTCCCCGGACTGGGGATTGGGGACCCCTGGCTTAGGTGTTTTGAAGCAACACACTTGCAATGTAAATACATATGGCACTGCTTTATGTTGAATCAGACTACTGATCTGACTTTTCTCATATTTTATTTATTTAATTTGTATCCAGCAAAAAATGCTGAAAAAATAGTTACGTGACTGTGGTGTGTTGCAAACAGCTGTAAATGCAAGCCAGTTGCCAAGCATCCAAAATGCGATAGTGTGATTGGGGTATGTATGTGGCCAGTTTAACTCCAGAATTAGGGTGTAAATAGCTCTAGAGAGATGTATCATAGCTTCAAATGATCACTAGGGGAGGACTGTTTTCATTCTGGAGGCATCATGTAAATATTTGGTAATAGCGCTGTTTACTCAATAATGTTGTAACATTGTAAGGTCCTGCCTCAGCTATCTCCTCAGGAAAGCATGAGTCCTGAAACAAGCATTATTTCAAAAGAACCTTTACTAAAAAAAAAAAAAAGATTGCAGAGAAGTTCCCGCATGACCACATTTCTTTTTTTTTTTTTTTTAAGTTTTTCAAGCCTGAGAAAAGCTTGAAGAAATAATGGAGAAGAAAGAATGACAGGTGTATTACATCCTTTAAGGACATTGCTAATATTTTGTCTGTATGAAAGTGCAAGCTCAGGGAGATTCCTAGTGAGTTAATTGAATTAAATATGTCTGGTTTACTAAAACTATGCTTCCAAGACAGGTGGAACACAAAGATTCCCAAAAGGTGATTTGTTG